ACCCTAAACTAAACCCCAAAGCCTAAACCCTGAAGCGTAAAACCTTAAACTGAATCCTACAGCCTAAACCCTAGAGTAAACCCTAAACCCTAAACTAAACCCTAAAGCCTAAACCTTCAGCTAGACCCTAAACTAAACCCTAGAGCCTAAACCCTAAACCAAACCTGTATACAGCCTAAACCTTAAACTAAACCCTAAAGCCTAAACCCTAAACTAAACCTGTTTTTCAGCCTAAACCCTAAACTAAACCTGTTTTTTCAGCCTAAACCCTAAACCAAACCTGTATACAGCCTAAACCCTCAACTAAACCTGTATACAGCCTAAACCCTAAACTAAGCCCTAAACTAAGCCCCAAAGCCTAAAGCCTAAAGCCTAAACCCTAAACCCTAAAGCCCACCGTGGCTTCATGGTGCAAGGGGCCAGGGTCCCCGAGCCCGAGAACCGACCCAAGGTCCCCAAAGCCCTAAACCCAGGGACTCTTAGGGTCCAGGGGTTTAGGGTTTAGGGTTTGGGGTTTAGGGTTTAGGCTTTAGGGTTTAGGGTTTAAGATTTAGGGTTTAGGGTTTGGGGTTTAGGCTTTAGGGTTTGGGCTTTAGGGTTTTGGGTTTGGGGTAGCCTTCACAGATCCATCCGCCTCATTCAAACATTAGCCTAGGCATTGTGGACTTCAATGATGCTGTGGGATTGGGCGTGGGCGGGTCGCAATTCGGTCATGGCACATAGATGGACATGGAGCTTCCTCCCTACGGGTTCGGTTGACTCTAGACGTATTGCCATAGGTGCTCGCGGTAAAGAAGGCTTGAACCAGACCTGCAAGAAATCCGAACCCCGTGCAAGACCTCTATCTAGACTCAGACACGGTTTAGGGTTTAGGGTCTATAGGGCTTTTAATTAAGGGTTGAGGGTGTAGGGGGCTGGAGTGGTGCTCGAGGTTGTCTACGACCACTTCCAGGCACTGGGAAATCTTAGCTCAAATCAACCTGTGCTGCCCTGAGACAGATCCAAAGCGAATAGACCGGCAAGGAGAAGCCAGCTTAAAATTTTGTACAAAGCTATGGATGATGGCGGTCCTTTGGTAGTTAATGCGTAAAAACCCTAAACCCTAAACCCTAAACCCTAAACACAACCTTGCATAGTTATAGCTCGGGGTCGAGCAGCTTCAGCCTTCAGCATCCAGGATTCCAATGTTTGGGCCCGTATTTATTTGGGTAGTTGTCAAAATTAGGGTCTTTTTGGGGGTACCCTAAATAATAGGTGCCGTATTATAATAAGGACCCAAAGGACCACAATTTTGGCAACCACCCATTTGTCTTCGCTTATCCGGTAAACCGCTGGGCCCTAGCCGTACAGCCATCAGCCCGTTCAGACTATAAACCTAATGCACCCTGTAAAGAATAAGAAAGCATGATGAACGAAGCCTCTCAAAGCCCGAATCGAAGCCATTCATGTAGGGGCCTGAATAATTCGGAAGAGTATGCCCCCCACCAAAGGCCTTCTACGGTCGATGATATAAATCCTGCATTTCCCATAATAAGGAATAGACCATATTTATTTCCCATAGTTTAGGGTCCTTAAGGTAATGCAGGATGTACATCATCAACAGTAGGACTCCCCTAAACCCCAAACCTTAAACCCTAAACTCTAAACCCTAAACCCTAAACCCAAACCTTAAGCCCTAGACCCTGAACCCTGGAAAACCTGCAGGTCTATCCTCAGTTCATCGTCTGGTACTCTCGGACGTGACACGCACATTGGAGTTTCTCAAAAGAGGAGCTGGGCCCCGCAGGGCTCATGATTTAGAGTGTAGGAGGGCCTGAATGTGAATAGTACAGGTATACAACAATTGTATACATATGTGTAAACATACATGCATACATACATACATACATACATACATACAGACTTACATATACATATACATACATCCGTCAATACATACATATTACACACATGCATGTAGGAGCCGGAGGCTTCTGTGCGGTCTTGCACGAGACTTACGGGGCTGTTCAGGCTCTCTTGCGGCGCTGTAATGTCTGATAACAGATCTGCATCGTCACGAAACTTTGAACCCAAAATCTACAACCCTTAGCCGCAAATAAACCCTCAACTGAAATCCTAAACAGTCCTCATCCAGTCTTTTGAGAAGCTCCTACATGTACACACCGTCTGCTCGGGGAGCTTGGGCACACCATTCAGTAGTCGACGGGGTCTACGCATGAACTTGGAGTACTGATGTAGGGTGTCTGGGTTTAGGGTTTAGGGGGTTTCAGAGTTTAGGGTTTCCGGGTTTGGGGTTTAGGGTTTAGGCTGGGGCAGCTTGGGGCTCGGAAGCACCAAAATTAGCCAATGGGAGAACTTTAAACTATTTGTCCTGATATATGAGGTCTATCCTAAAAAGCTTGAACTTTGTTGCGCATGGTTGTTGAAGAAGAGAGTTATAGTCCTTGTAGAACTAGACGGGACAACTGTCTCCAAACTCGGCTCTAAGTGCTATTACGAAGGCCGCCATGTCTTCAGAGGCATGGAGGGTCAAAGGTGAAACCAGCGATTTCGCAAAAGCTAATCAAGAAGAAATGTACAAAGAATGTATATATATATATATATTCTTATAGATATGTATATATATATATATACTTATTTTAAATGTCACAAAATATACACGTATATACATGCTATTACATACGCATATGAAGTTGTTTTAAGCATAACCATTACTTGAACAACTTGACAAGCATGTTTATACATACAAAACCATCTCTCCTGCGGAAAGATCCTTATAGCCCAGAATCGCAACTTTCCAAACGAGAATCCGTGTGTTGTGGACGTTCGTGTACGGATGTTCGCGCAAAGCCCCAAGATCACGTCCAGTGTCCGCTGTTGGCGAAGAGGTTAGACCTCGCACGCGAAAGTCCATAAACACAACACCTAGGACATCAAAGGCCATGGACTAGGACAATAGGGACTAAGGGATATCTTTTAATACGGGGTTCCCTAATACTGTTGTTGTACATACACCAGGCCGTCCCCAAATGAAGCAAAAGCCCTGCGGTATTATATTGAATCCAGTTGAATCCACCATTTACGAAGGTCTTAAATCCGTATGACTCGAACCTAAACAACAGCCCAAACTTCCCGTCACGACGCGGTTTCACCTGAATAAACATGGGGCTGAGGCTTGGGAGGTTCGCCAAAAACCTCGAGCACGATCTCGCCCCACAGTACCATGGTGTCCCACCCACCCGCAACATATGTAACTGGTTCTAAACCCAAAACCCCAAAATCCTCAACCCAAAACCGATTTACGTCGACATTCGAAGACGTGTTAGATTCCATTGGCGCTTTTGCCTCGGAGGTTTTTGTTGCAAAGCAGCCACAAGTCCCAGGTCATGCATCGCTGGCAAAGACTAGCACAGCCACAGCCATGTGTTCTTGCAGGAAATCTCGCAATCGGTTGTTACGGGTTGAGGAGGGATTGAATACTATCACTAAACCCTCAACCCTAAAACGGGACGTTGGGATTTCAAACCCATGCACCCTGGAAAATTCCAGATGCTGAAAAATACTTGAAGCCTGAGTCCTTGCGAAATCGAAACCCTGGAAGCCTCCATGAAAACCGGGGCGGAACCTCCGAAATCCAAATCTGTTTTAAGTCCTGAATCTCTCAACCCTTAAAGCGTTCACTCCACCCCTTAACATGCGAGTTCAATAAATGAACAGAGAAGCTCCCATGTAATATAAAGGCTTAAATAATTACCAATACTATTTGGAGGGCTCAAGAACACCCGTAGTCAGGGATCGCTTAGAGCCCCAGTGTGGCAAACCGCCACACGTGTGAGCTGCCAGCGCCATAGGGAGCCCAAGCTGGCATAGACGACAGAGGAAGCAAAGGTCTATTGCTCGGAATCGAGCCAGACGGGCCGCGGCCGACGGCCGAAAACCATCGGTACGAGACCTACATAGGCTTCTCTGGCACCACTCGGCACCGACTCACGGTGCTTGGACATCCAAGAACAAGGCCCGTAGCCGTCACATGGGACGCGGACGAAACCAGAACCAAGCATGGGCTGGATCTGGCTATGGGTACCGTGTGTGGCCAGGTGCCTACTCTCCTCAGCTCCCGAAGGAGAAGCGAGCCCCCTGGAAAGACGACATCCGGAACGGCCAACAGAACTTCCCGTCTTACTCCTCTATGAGACCTACAATGCCGAGTGGAACGGCGACGAGTGGGATCCCCGAGGTTCCAGACTCTACCACGGCATCAATACAAACTGCTCTCAACGTGACGCGGAAGGCGGAGCAACGTGTAACACGTTTGAGGGCAGCGCAGGTGGATGCGGGGAACAAGATGAGAGAATACGAACAGCGCCTCAAGGACGCTTTGCTCCGCGAACGTCAACGACATGCCAAAGACCAGGAGCGCTTGGAAAAAGACCTACAAGAGGCGGAGGAGGCACAGGAGGCAGCCCGTGCCGGTTTGCGCACGGCATTCCTGGCGGAGCAGTCCAGGGGACCTGGAGCTATGGATCTGGATTTAGGGGCCGAAGCGGCCGAAGTCGAGCGGACGTTTGCCTTGTGGACAAACGAGGAACAGGAGCACTCAGATCAAGTGCTTCGCCGAGCCATGGCTGGCCTACCGCCGACAACACCGATGCGGAGTGCCATGCCAACACCGCGAACGCCCTATCACAGTGGACATGCGCCAGCCCTCAAAGGACCTATGGAGCCACAGCCCGTGGCACTGGTGGCATCTGCAGATCCATACTGGACCACACAGGCTACATCGGCTGCCCCACCAGGTCTCATTCCGGAGGCCCCAGCAGTTGGCCGTGCCGATGCTCCCACAGGCCATCACGGGCCGCCAGGCCCTGCTACTCGGCCAGTGGCTGTTATGGGTGGCACACCAATGCCGGCTTCCACAGAGATGATGGCGACAGTGCCCGTTGCGGCCCCAGATGCTGTCTCTGGTGCTGCAGGAGTGATGCCAGCTGCCTTGGCAGCTGCGGAGCCTCTGGAATACGGACCGAGTCCCTCTCTACGGGACAAGCTATCCAGGAGACGAGCCATCGAACCATTTGGAGGGCCCAAGCCCTCAAGCGCAGGCGGACCAAAACTGGAATCGGAGAATCTTCCTATGGCTCCTCCAGGTGGAAATCATGGACAACGCGTACAGATCGTTGCAGACGACGGCGAGGACACAGAGGACGAGGAACAGCCACACTGGCGTCCTCCTGGAGATACAGTTTAGTGGTTGGTCCCCAGCGAAGGGCAGTACGTGACGGCTTCCCTGAACGCCTCCTCACCATCGTCCACTCTGTGAACGAATGCTGGGGTGTGCGCGATGGCAGTCAGTCGTGTTTCTGCTATTCGCTGCTGGACCATCCGGATGTGAGACTGGACCGTGTACATAGACCAGTGAAGGCGAGTAGGATGTATCATGTGCCGGATACGCCCGCCGCGAGGTTTCCAGCTCCTCCTTGGGCTTGCCCTTCGGGCTCTTCGGTTCCTGGATTTCATTACGCAACTCAAAAGCCCTTGTCTGGATTCTCGCTGTCCTTGATCCGAGGTGTTGCTGCTGCGGTTCTGTCAGCCACGCCTTGTGTCCTCCGTCCCCTGCATACGTTGCAACAGGGGTTTTGGCCCTTCCTTATCTTTTCTGGTTGCTTTCCTTTTGTTCGCTTGCAGCCCAGCGGAGCATGTCCTGCTCCCCCTTCGTCTTCTGGCAACTGCTATGGGGGCTGTCTGGCTAGTGTGCCCCCCCAGCAACACTGCCGTGTTGCGGGTCATAGGCCCACATTTCCATTTGGATTTTCGCGCAAGGTGCCAAATACCCGCATCGGTGGCTCAGGGGCGGGAACTTGCGACATGCCAATGGGACCTTACAGGCCTACACGGTCTTTCTCCAGCCCTTTCAGGCCTTTCAGGTTTCTACCTTCGTTGCCTGGAATTTCTTCTTCCTCGGCACCTCCCATACATCCCTGGGTTTGCGTATGGGACGGATGCCCCCGCCAATTGGTGTCGAGCTGTTTGTGCTCCGCCCTATCCAGTACGGCAATGGAGTCTTTCATCAGGTGCCTAATAGATACATCGGTGGCTCTGGGGTATCAACCTGTTGGAAGCTCCCTGCTTCCCTTACCAGCCTACCGCGACGCGGCAGTGCCCCCTCTCCCCCCTTTGGGTTTAGTCCCTAATCTCGGCCCTCATGGAGTAGGCGGTTGGAACCATGCACTTTGGATCGGCCTTTCATGGTGGTCAGCTCAGGCAGTGTCCGTGATGATCTGCATTCTCATCATGACACACATTGCCCTTTGCCGGCTTCTTCTTTGCCAGCTTGGGTTCCATAAATCGCCTTTAGGCCGGATCTTTTTGGTTGGATCTCTTAGTCCGTGCCAGGAGGTACTGCTTCCGCTTGGCCGTCTAGGAACCAGCTCCCCTATTCTTCATTGGCAGGTCAATACCAGGAGCCTTTCGAGACGACACCGGGGCCCCAGACTCAGCCGGCTACTTCTTGGACTCTTGGCCTTTTCCAGCATGCCACAACCAGTCACGGCTGCACCGCCTGGACTTATTACTGCGCTCGCTGCAGTCGAGCGCATCATCGCACGGCTTCCAGAACCTTTGCCACCTGCGCCTTGCGAGGAAGCCCCAAGCCACCATCCGCAAGCCTACATTCCCCCCTACGGTGTTGACATCATCCCGTTACCACTGCCTCGTGGACACTTTGCCGATGTTCCGTCACATACCTG